CTTCCCTTTCTAAGACCTAAGGGAAAAGGCTATCATTAGTCCAAAAGGTTTATATTCAATAGTGCACTCCCTTCCTTTGATTCCCAATCTTTATAGGATTCTAATTTATTTTAAAATTTCGATTTTTCCTAAAAATCACAAAATTGGAAACCCAAATTCATTATTTTCTTCCCATGAACATGCAATGGCATCCCCTTAACCTAATTAGACTTTAATTTAATTAAATTTTCTAATTTCTTTAATTCAAAATTAAGAAAAATAAAGTTTTCATACAAAACTTTCATTTTACCTCCTTAGAACATTCCTAAGGTCCTTAGGAATAAGATTTGTGAAGATCTTCTCAAAGGAATCAAATTTTGGAATAAAAAATAAAAACCTAAATTTTAAAATTTTAAAATTTTCATGAAATTTTCGTTTAAACCCATAAAAATCTTTTTAATATCGATAGAACCATTTTCATGAAAGCTGTCCCTCTTGAAATGCGTGTGATGCTTACGATCCACATTTTTCGGGTTTTACAATTCTCTCATTCTAATAAAATTTTTGTCATCAAAATTAAAACAAGTGGGACAAAGTACACCTTAATCAAAGAGATGAGGATAGCATTTACTTATTTCTGATTCTTTCTCTCTTGTAGGGTGCCTCTCAGATCCATGCTTCCATAGAACCTTAACAAAAGGTATGTCTCTGCTTCGGAGTTGTTTCACACTATACTCCAAAATATGATCTGACTCTTCAACATAAGTAAGATCTAGTTGTATGTCTATAGTTTCTGTTATGATCTTAGACAGATCATCTGATATAAATTTCCTTAGGGAAGAAATATGTAGCACATTGTATACAAAATATATATTAGCTGGCAAGGCCAATCTGTAAGCCACATTTCCAATCCTTTTCACAATCTTAGAAGGTCCAATGTAATAAGGACTAAGATATCCAGTTTTGCCAAAGTGTTGTATACCCTTCATGGGAATGATCTTATTGAAAATAAAATCTCCCACATTGAATATCACAAAGCGTTGCTTAGCATCATAGTACTTCTGCCTATCTTGTATTGCTTGTAGCCTTTCTCTAATAATTATGATCTTGTTGGTAGCATCATCAATCAAATCGGAGCTAATCATTTTCCTTTTGCCTGCTTCAACCCAACATGTTATGTATTTTTTTTCATAGTGCTTCATATGGAACCATTCCTATGCTGGCTTGAAAGTTGTTGTATAAGCAAACTCTATTAAAGGAAAGTGAGATTCCCAGCCTCCACCAAAATCAAGGATGAAAGTTCGTTAGGGATGTTAGGCCCTATGAACTAGCCCAAGGCTAATTAAAAGAGATGTGAATTGATATTTTAAAAAATCTTTAAACCAAAGACAACAAACCCAGATCACTATAAAGAAATCAACGATGCGGAAATTAAATGTGAAAG